GTGATCTTACCAACCCAGGAATGGGCACAAGAATCTACTGTATCCTTTAACATTCACTCAGCTGGACTCTTATTGTGGTGAGCTGACTTTCAGTACCTGTGCCTTCTCAGTTTCATGTTTGGTCTTTTTCTCATGAGGAGCTAAATAGCTACACAGGCTTTGTAGTGTGGTAGTAAGTGATGAAACTCTGATTATGAGCTGTCTTGGAGCTTAATTTCCCTTCTGTTCTTCAGGGAGTCAGTCTCACTAACAAAGAAAATAAATCTGTGCATGACAAGGACAGAACTTCTAATGCATCAGTCCAACAAATTGAATACAATTGTGCTTCTATCAGAGAAGCCCTAGCAAATGGTCTATTTAGAGCTTTTGTGTAATCATGGTAGGTTTGAGTTTCCACCAGTGTTGAGCTTTACCTCTGTGATTATCATCTGATCTGAAAGAAAGCATTGGATTTCAGGTGGAGAGTCTCACAATACAGCTATTCAGGGCTGCTCTTTTATTACTGTGAACAAGTATCTACAGAGTTCTCCTAGCCTTGTGACTTTGCGAAAGGAAAGTATTTAAAGGCAACCACCTTGCAGACAGAAGTGATCCCGGAATTACAAGCCAAGTATTGTTTTGTACCAACAGTACAGTTGGCTCTGTTGTTCTAAAATGGCTCTCTTATCAAGGCACATTGTCTGTTTTGTGACTTTTAAAAGTCAGTAAAATTCCATGCCGTGCAAATAAAATCTTTGGAGCATAAAATGTTTTCCACAAGTCCACTGATTTCTGAGTTAACTTCTAAAATTGGAAGTGTAAAGCTTCTCTTAAGAAAAGTCTGGCCTTACGAAATTGGTGTTTTGTTTTGTTCTGTTTTCTTGAATCGGAACAAATCGGAAACAAATCTATATTTTCCAACTTTAAAAGAAAATTCTTTTGTCTCATAAAAAATGGTTCAAAGGGTTGATAGCTGCTGTGGCCAGAAGCTCCCGTTTGTGTTCCAGATCCTCCCCTTTCCTAGGAAAGGTGGATTTAGCAATGCCTTAATTACCTTAATTACCTCTTAGATTATTGTAACACACTCTGTATGAGGCTAACCTTGCCAAATGATCAGGGCTACAGATTGCACAAAATAAGGCTGTCAGGCTGATGTCTGGTGTGCTTTTTAGAGACCATACAGTAGTCTTGAACCAACTGTAAAGGTAAAGGTAAAGGTTCCCCTTGACAATTTTTGTCCAGTCGTGTCCGACTCTAGGGGGCGGCGCTCATCCCGCTCTTCAAGCCATAGAGCCAGCGTTTGTCCGAAGACAATCTTTCCGTGGCCACATGCCCAGTGTGATTTTAGACACAGAACGCTGTTTACGTTCCCACCGAGATGGTACCTATTTATCTACTCGCATTTGCATGCTTTCGAACCGCTAGGTTGGCGGGAGCTGGGACAAGCAACGGGCGCTCACTCCGTCGCGTGGATTCGATCTTACGAATGCTTGGTCTTCTGACCCTGCAGCACAGGCTTCTGCGGTTTAGCCCATAGCGCCACCACGTCCCTCATCTTGAACCAACTGTACTGGATAAATTCAAGCTGGTTTTGTTCTATAAAGTCCTAAATGGCTTACAAATATTGTACTGTACTTCATCTCCCAGATATTTTTCCCACGGTAACAGACTCACTTTAGAAACTTCAAAGGTAAAACAGATTCTTTGCTCTTAGGGTCACCCAATTGCCTGTTGTAATTCACACACTATTGCAACTGATTACCAAGAAAAGCTTGTAGTGGGGAAGAGTTCATCAAGGACTGTAAACAGCCAATCCAAGATTCATGTTACTCTACAATCTTCAGATATACTCTACTACTGTTATTTTATGACAGAGATTCTCACATTCTTTACAGCACAAGCTTTAATAAAAGACCAGCATATGAAAGATGCTATTACTACAGTGTTTTGCTTTTACCTATAATGCTTGCACAGACTAACATGACTATCACTTCTGCAACTAAATTACTTGGGTCTGGGATAGCTTAAGATCAACTCTGAATCTGTACAAAATTTGAGTTCTTCACTGGAAGTCTTGGTGCATGTACCATCACTCTAGAGGACTAAGTTTGTGAGCACATTAGATAGCACTTTCTATAGCAGCTTACCTATTATGGAAATCTCTATCAGGAAGAGCTGAATTGGTTCCATCCCTGCTGAATTTCCAGTGGAGGGCCAAAGTGTACTGACAGTGTAACCTTCCACTTTTAAAGTTATCTTACAAAAAATGTAAATGTTTTAAAGTCAGTGTTTTAAAAAGGTTTCATTTTTGAAGTATTTTAAAATATTTTTTCTTGCATATCATTATGACACTCTTAGTGTGCAGAGAGGATTAATAAATAACTTTTAATGAATAAATAAATAAATAGAATTAGACACAATAAAAGAACAGTGCAATAACAGTAAGAGAAAGATGGCATCTTACGCAATTGGTAAGTAATATTAATAAAGAAAAATGGTTGATATTTGCATTCTGGATAGTTGTTACAGGAAATGAAAAAGTTGGTAGATATATTTCCAAAGAATCCTGTATCAATGTGAAAATATTGTCATTGGACCCATAACTTTTAATTTGGTATGCTAGCTTTTCGTTGTTGTTTAGTCGTTGAGTCGTGTCCGACTCTTCATGATCACATGGAGCACACCAGGCCCTCCTGTCTTCCACTGCCTCCCGGAGTTTGAACAAATACATGTTGGTAGCTTTGATGACACTGTCCAACCATCTTATCTTCTGTCCTTCCCTTCTCCACTTGCCTTCACTCTTTCCCAACATCAGCGTCTTTTCCAGGGAGTCTTCTCTTCTCATGAGATGGCCAAAGTATTGGAGCCTGAGCTTCAGGATCTATCCTTCCAGTGAGCACTCAGGGTTGATTTCCTTTAAAATTGATAGGTTTGTTCTCCTTGCAGTCCAGGAGACTCTCAAGAGCCTCCTCCAGCACCACAATTCAAAAGCATCAATTCTTTGGCGGTCAGCCTTCTTTATGGTCCAGCTCTCACTTCCATACATCACTACTGGAAAAACCATAGCTGTGACTATGCGGACTTTTGTCAGCAAGGTGATGACTTTGCTTTTTAAGATGCTGTCTAGGATTGACATAGCTTTCCTCCCAAGAAGCAGGGACCTTTTAATTTCGTAGCTGCTGTCACCATCTGCGGTGATCATGGAGCCCAAGAAAGTAAAATCTGTCACTCCATATCTTCCCCTTCTATTTACCAGGAGGTAATGGGACCAGTGACCATGATCTTAATTTTTTTGATATTGAGCTTCTGACCATTTTTGGCACTCTCCTCTTTCACCCTCATTAAGAGGTTCTTTAGTTCTTTAGTGTAGAGTCACCTCTTGTGTTGCTGGAAAAGAGTGTTTGTTATGACCAGCTTGTTCTCTTGACAAAATTCTTTTAGCCTTTGCCCTGCTTCGTTTTGAACTCCAAGGCCAGACTTACCTGTTGTTCTTTTTATCTCTCAATTCCCTACTTTATCATTCCAGTCCCCTATAATGAGAAGAACATCTTTCTTTGGTGTCAGTTCTAGAAGGTGGTGTAAGTCTTCATAGAATTGGTTAATTTTAGCCTCTTCAGCATTGGTGGTTGGTGCATAAACGTGGATTACTGTGATGTTGAAAGGTCTGACTATGAGGGCTACTCCATTTCTTCTACAGGATTCTTGCCCACAGTAGTAGATATGATAATCGTCTGAATTGAATTCACCCATTCCCATCCATTTTAGTTCACTGACGCCCAGGATGTCAGTGTTTATTCTTGACATCTCTTGTTTGACTACATCTAGTTTACCATGGTTCTTAGATCTTACATTCCAGGTTCCTGTGCAGTATTTGTCTTTGCAGCATCGGATTTTCCTTTTACTACCAGGCACGTCTGCAGCTGAGCGTCTTTTCGGCTTTGGCCCAACCACTTCATTAGCTCTGGAGCTACTTGTACTTGTCCTCCGCTCTTCCTCAGTAGCATGTTGGACACCTTCCAACCTGAGGGGCTCATCTTCCAGCATCACATATTTTGGCCTTTTGTTTCTGTTCAAGGAGTTTTCTTGGCAAAGGTACTGGAGTGGCTTGCCAGTTCCTGCTCCAGGTGTGCTAGCTTAGATGGTTACATCTCAACGAGATGGTTACAATCAGGCCAGGTGGCTGAGGGGCCTAATGTTAAGAGAGATCCAAAGGGAAAAAACTAAAAACAGGGCCTTTTCATTAGCGGCCCCTTGTCTCTAGAACAATTTACCTGCGGAGATCTGCCTGCCCCCCTCGCTGAGGGCCTTTAAGACCAATTTGAAGGCATGACTATAGAGGCTGGCATTCCCTACAGCCATCACCTAGCCTAATTTTCTTTCTTCTTCTTTTTCCGTGTTGGATTCTGTTGTTAATTTGGGTTGCATCTTTAGTTCATTTATACTTCCTCAGTTTATTTTTTTATATTTTGTGTAAACTGCCCAAAGTAGACACATTCTAGATGGGCAGTATATATATTTAATAAATAAATTAATGAATAAATAAATAAATACATTGAGTTTTGACTTTTATTGAGTTCATTGGCTTATATTCAGTCAATTAAGATGTCTCATATTGAGGCCATTACAGCAGATGGGACATTTTATATTTGATAGTATCCTAAGAATCCTTGGCTTATACAATATTGAGTCCACTGAGAAGGGTTCTAAACATATGTATATATTTTATCTTATCTCTCTCTCTGGATTCTTGTTCTGTAATTTTTCTTCTCCAGAATGGCAACTCTCAAAATCTTGTGCAGAGTGTCCAGGCAAGTTGAAATGATCTGAAACCAGTTTCTTTGTATTGCCATTTATGATGTCTGACTTGTGTGCATGAATTATTTTGTGCAGACTGTCCTATTCGTACCAAAGTTTTGTTTTCTTGTGTGAAAACAGTTTGTTGAGTTAATACATTTATGGTAATGCATACTACTTAAAATACCACCATCATACTGTAAGCACCTGATTATTCTGTTTTCTAGGAATGTACACCTGAGAACCTAGAACTGAAGAAGAAGATTTTTGGCCAGTTAGATCTTATTGCCAGCAATGATGTGATTCTAAGCAGTTCGACCTCCTGTCTTTTGCCTACAAAATTGTTCACTGGACTGAAACATGTCAAACAATGTATAGTGGCACATCCTGTAAGTATACCATGATATACAGTTGTGCCCCGCTTAACGATTATCCCGCATTACGATGAATCAGCTTCACGACAATGTTTTTGCGATCGCAATTGCGATCGCAAAAACATTGTCGTGAAGCTGATTCATCGTAATGCGGGATAATCGTTAAGCGGGGCACAACTGTATATCATGGTATACTTACAGGATGTGCCACTATACATTGTTTGACATGTTTCAGTCCAGTGAACAATTTTGTAGGCAAAAGACAGGAGGTCGAACTTGCTTAGGGACGGATTCCTCACTATACAGGCACCGAAAATGGCCGGCGTATGGAGGATCTTCGCTGGACGGTGAGTTTTTAGCCCATTGGAACGCATTAACTGGGTTTTAAAGCGTTTCAATGGGTTTTTTATTTTCGCTTTACAACATTTTTGCTCTACAGCGATTTCGCTGAAACGAATTAACGTTGTTAAGCGAGGCACCACTGTATTTGTAATTATTTGTATTGAAGCTTGTAATTGGGTAGGGAAGCAGAGCCTGTGTGACTGAATTGGAATTCTGTGGCTAAAATCGAGTAGTAAATCACAACTAGAGTAGGCCCATAATCAGTGGGGATTTGGTGAGTCAATTCTTCCATAAATTCCATTGATTCAATGAAACTATTTAAGCTGTGACTTCTTACTGTATTTCAACATAAGTTCCATTGATTCAATGAACCTATTTAAGTTGTGACTTCTTACTGTATTTCAGCCCATGTATCGGCTTCAAGTGAAAGTAGTATCTCACATGAAGGCTGTATGGTTTTGTAAATTGCTTTTATAAATGAGATTGGAGAATATCTTAAAAGAATGCATGTAATGAATGAATGAATGAATGCAATAGAATTGTATATACCAGTTAACGTTTTAAAGTTTTTTATTAAGTAAAGTAAACCCACTGATGGCATTACATGTATAATGACAAATAATGACTTGGTCCAAGAACTTGTGAATTCCTAGAGAGATGCAGAAAGATGCCAACCGCTTTGCAGGAAACAATAATTAAACCACACCTCATGTAACTCAATGTGGACCAAGAAGATTTAAACAACTTTAGGCTTGTTGCTAACAATCTCTTCTTGGGCAAGATGCTAGATCAAGTCACTGGCTAACTCCAGACTTTTCGATACCAGGACCTCTCTTGGAATTTACAAGTTCGTAGACCAAGTCATTATAGCAATGCTTTGCCATCTACATTGGCTTGAGATTGATTTCAGGACCAGATTCAAAGTGCTGGTAAATTATCTTTTAAATCGTTAAACGATTTGGGTCCAGATTATCTGAAGTGAGATTGATTTCAGGACCAGATTCAAAGTGAATTATCTTTTAAATCGTTAAATGATTTGGGTCCAGATTATCTGAAGGATTGTGTCCTCCTACATATACTTGCATGGACCTTTAGAACATCTTATGGCTTTATCCAAAAGGCCCTGTCAAGTGAGGTTTTTCAGGTGACACAGCTCTTTGAGTTGTAACACTGTGATTATATAATGTCTTCTTGAAGTGGCTCACCTGGCATCCATGTTGTAGTCCTTGCACTGCTGGGTGAAATCCTTTTAATTTCTCCCAGTCATTTAATCTTAAAATCCTGTATGAATTTTAAGTCTTATGTATATTGCTAGAGTTTAAAAAGTTAAGCTAATTTTGTGCTGCTCTGACTTGGTTTACCTTACATTTATATTGTGTGTCATTAACTCAGTTTTGACTTATGATGACCCTTACCAGGGTTTCCTAGATGTAAAGTCATGTTTATTAGGCCCTTCTTCTAGTGATGTTGTAGGACTATACTGTCCGGGGCTAAAGATGCTAGCTGTTCTCCTGGGAAGCCCAGTGAGAAGTCAGATTCTTGATGCCTGGGTACTCCAAGTCATTGAATTTCCCAGCCAGGTTTACCTGAGATTGTTAGCTTTGTTTTGCATTATGTTTAATGTTTTATTGGATTTCATGGCCTTGCATTTTCCCCCAATTTCAGGTTAATAGTGTAATGAGTGCTTAAATTGTTGACTGGTATATAAATAGCATAAATAATAACTGAAAGTTTCCAGAGTAGTAGTATTCAGCTATAATAATGTCTCCATTAATGTATGTATTTCTACATGATCTCTTACTCTTTCTGGTTTATGACTAGGTAAATCCACCATACTATGTACCTCTGGTTGAACTGGTACCCCACCCAGAAACAGATCCTTCTACGTTGGATAAAACCTATGCTCTGATGAAGAAGATTGGACAAACACCCGTTAAACTGACGAAAGAGATTGATGGATTTGTGTTGAACCGACTTCAGTATGCAATTATTAGTGAAGCATGGAGACTTGTTGGTGTAAGCATGAATTCAGATATCTTTTTTCTTTGCATGTGCTTTGAGTTCTGTGGAATACAGTGTTCCATTTAGGCTGCAGGGGATACACTGACAGTGCAAGTTATACATTACTCTGAGTTATGCCCCATTGTGTAGTCCTGCAGATAGATGCCTTCCTGTTCGATCATCCCACATCACAATCTAGCAACATCTGGAGGGCCACATGTTGACCATTCCAACCTAGGAATAAATCCTATTGAACTAATTGGAACTCCTAGGACTCCCATGCATTAGCAAATACTGTTGGTATAAGAAAATAGCAGCCGGGTAGATAGGGCTTGTTAGCCTAGGAAGGCAGCCCATCTAGGAGAAGGAAAACTCCTGTTTCAAACCTCCACTGCCTTGTGGCTATATCCACTGATGGAAAAGACTTCAGGAGTCAACCTCAAGGCAAAATCCAGAGTCGGAGTCCCAGAGGCAGTTCGTGTCGTTCTGTCAGCTCGTGCGACGTCGCTGGAACCAGTTGTATTGGCTCTTGCCTTTCTATTGGACTATTTCAGCAATGTGGAGAGGGGGGATTTGCTGCTTGGGTAACAGCCTATCCTCCATATTATTTTACCCAGGCTTCATGCTCTGGAGAGGACATTCCAGCTTCGCATACAGTGTCGACGTCCTCCCTACAGAGCACGTTACCATAGTCTTTCGAGACTGAAGGGTGCCTATGAGGTAGAAAATAGCAATATGCACATTTTCCTGCAGAGATAGTTTATAGACCAAGACACCTTGGAATGATAGAAATTGCATCCTATCACATCCAAGATGTTCTAGGATGCAATTTCTATCATTCCAAGCTGGTAGCAGGCTATCAAGTTAGGATAAAACTATATTAAATACCAAAAAAAGGAAGCAAATTTGTACAGTAGGTAAGATGAGAAGGATTCCAAAACAATGCTGTTTTCATTCTACCAAGAAAAACAAGGTGAAAAGGTCAGAAAGAGAAATACTGGCTTTCATGTTGTTTCTCTTCATTTCCTGATGCATTCAGAAAGATCTGGGCATACTTGTAACATTTGTGCTTTGTGAAACAATTATGAAAATAATCCTTTAAGCAGAAGTAACTTTAGCTGTTCAGAGTCCCGTCTCTCATGCTTTGATAATAATCAGATACAAGGGAATAAAGACAAATTTCTCATCTTTTTTTAATTCTACCTCTGTGTTGTTAGTTATGAAATATATTTCCCACCAGAAAAAGATGTCTCTCAGTCTTTTGATTGTCATTTTTCTGTAGAACTGCAGAAACAGCAAGGGAATCTGGATATCATAAGAACACAAGAAGAGCCCTGCTGGATCAGGCCAAGGGCCCATCTAGTCCAGCTTCCTGTATCTCACAGTGGCCCCACCAGATGCCTCTGGGAGCACACCAGACAACTAGATACCTGTCTCCTGATACCCCTCCCCTGCATCTGGCATTTTGAATTACCTTCCTTTTAAACCTGGAGATTACTCGTACACATCCCCATCATGGCTTGTAACCTGCAGTGGACTTTTCCTCTAGGAAGAAGAACACCCTCTTTGAATTCTGTGGCTTTATGTATCAGGACACAATAAAAATCATCTGGTCCTTAACAGGTCTGAAAATATATCGTGATATGGTGCATTATGTCATGTGTTGTTCATCTGAGCTTGTATTTACCTAATTTTCAGGCCTGTTCAGGACCAGATGATTTTTATTATGTCCTGATACATAAAACTATAGAATTCAAAGAAGATGTACTTTCTTTCTCACTTGACTGTACATGATTCACACAATCATTGTTGGCATCTAGTCTGTGAGAAAGATGTATGGGCATGCCCTTCTTAGTTTTTATGTTCCTTAACAAGGAAGCTTATAAAACGTCAGATATTGTATGCAGAAAACAACCCAAAGGGAAGTTCATGCCTATAAAGCAATCCTTCTGAAGAAAGTGTACAGACTTTACAACAAAGTGCCTTTTGAACTTCAGCTTGAGAAGTAAAAGTACTATGACAAAAATCAGTTTTAAATGAAGGGGTTTCATTTTCTTTGCAGAAATTTATGAAGATTCCTTAAGCAGATTTGTATATATGGTCTTTGGATTGGCAAGCTACTGAGGTGATATGAGGGCATGGAACAAGGTTGGCAGGATGGCGTGTTGTAAGATAATAGTATGCCTTTTTGGCATTCTTTTAATGTCAGGAAGGAAACTGAGTCGAAGATCAGTTTAACAAACCAGGAAATGAATGTTTTCACTGATCTCAACATTCATGCTTTGAAAACATTAATTCCTTGGTAGACACTGGTTTTTGGCATTTCTTCCCTATCAGGAATAATCTGTTCAGGACAAATAGTTGCTTGTAGACTGCCACTCTATCTTTATGCCAATAGGTGAAACAGAATAACCCAAAAGATATGAAGAATGAATATTATGAAATGGAATCTTCACCTATACTGTGATTAACCAGATTACAACTTTTTCCTACTACTATCCAGATGTCATTGGGTTGACTGCTAGTGGACCAGAGTTTGAATGCAAACTCCTCCAATGTGAACTTCCATGCCCCATTGTAGGCAGTGTCCAGATCCTTCTACAGTTGAATTTGACCTCTAACGCTTATTACTGCCATCAGTTCATTCCTTGCTAGTTTTTTGTCTTCTCGGTTTACTGAAAAATGTCGTGGATGAAGGGAGATGAAAGCCAGGGTCAAGGAGTGTGTTTTAGATAGAAGGAAGTCTTCTGTGTTTCAGTGGCCCAAATCATTATGTACACACTCAAAAGTGCCATTCCTTGCAAGGATATATGGAAATTAAACTGAACAAGAGCACCCAACTTTCATGTCTCTGGCAAGAAACTGAACTGATGGGGGGTTTAAATAAATAA